GGGCGGGGCTCCCCGCCGCCGCCGAGAGAAGCTTGGGAGACCTGGGGGCTTAAAGGCTGGGAAAGTTCCCCGGGAGCGTCCTGGCCCGGCGTGCTATTACTGGGAAGGGAGCCGCCGGGGCACCGGCGCCTGCTCCCGAGGGTACAGCCGGGCTGTAAAGCCAGGAGATAGTTTTCAGAAGCTTTCGTGAAAGTCTGTCTTAGGAGGATGTGATGTAAACTGATTAAGCGATAACTGCTTGCTTCCACATTGGTGCAACAAATAGCTAAAGAAGCAGAAAATGTGCGAAAGTAACGTCTCCTGCAGTACAGCTATTAAGCGGCCGACGGTGCACTTAGAGTTGCACGGTGAATAAATAAATATTATTTAAGTAATTCCACAATTAGAAAGCATTGCAATTCAAAAGGATTGAAGTATTCATAAATTGTGAATGGAGATGGAAACAATGATAAGACTTATTCAGTGATTGGATACAGTCCTGTAGTTTTTTGGCTGACACATTTTTTATTGTTTATATTTTGTTTGGCATCTAAGTGTGATTGACTTAGATATGGATATTTTCAGCAAGTAAACGTGAGCTGCAGTGGAGCAAAGCTGGAAAAGAGTACTCTTGAGATACTTCTTCAAAAGAGAAGTGCATGCATGTGGGAAGCGTTCTGGGTAACAGATACACACATGCTTACAGGTACACACACAGAAATGATTACTTACGGTGGAATCTGCTATTAGTAAAAAAATGATTCTGTGCGGGCTGTCCATCCTGTGAAATTATTGACAGGTAATAAGACCCTTCTACCAGGGTATAAACCCGAGAGTACAACTGAAGAAAGTGTTTTTTACATTAGATACACACAAATTTTCACTACCACTTCCACTAATGTGTATAGCTAATTTTGTCGCTGCCTGCTAAATTTATCCTCCCCACCCCCCCCCATACGTTTGCTTTTTGGACTTGCAGATATCATAGATTTCCTTTTTCTTTACAAATCTGTATTAGAACACTGCAGTCAGGTGTGTACAAAACCACAATATTGGTCTTCTACAGCCATAAGTTTAAAAAGCAGTTCCTGGCTTTCGTGCGTTGATAACTTTTCCCTAATACTTTACAGTCGTGCTGTATCATGTGCCATGCAGACACAGTTCCCATATAGTGCTACATACACGGAACACAGTTTCAACATACTGATTTTAATTTGGGATCTTTACCTATTTGGAATGATAAATGCATTTTTTAAATCGGATTTCCATAAATTAAAAATTAAGATTATGCTGGCAATGAAGATGTATACTTTGTGTTATTTATTTATTTGTTTATTTAAAGCAAAAGATTGATTAATCTTCTTTTGAGTTGTGACTGAGTAGTACTGCCAAAATTGTTCTCTCTATTGTGTTCTCCATCTCGAGGGCTCTTGCAAGGCACACTGGCTGTTGGCTGTAGGCTCAGAAGAAAATATTTTAATAAAAGTTCTAAACACAGAACACCTGTTTGGACCGAGCTGCTTGCAAAAACAGTAGTTCAGTTTGTGCTGAGATAGTGCCAAAGCACCTTTTAGAAACAAGTTTGAAATCCAGAGTACAGCTTTCAGAGAAATCTTGGCAATCCAAATTTTTACCAACCACTCTTTCAATAAAAGTCTGGCTGGTGTAAAATAGCTCCCAACTAAGAGTGAAGCCTTACCAAATGCAGTTTAATTTTTTGGGGTTCCTTCCGATATGCCACTCTCCTCCTGTTTTGCAATGACTCTGAACTGCATTTCTCTCTCCTGCTG